CCAGAGCCCACCCCCTCGACCGCCCAGAGGCCTACTAGGCTACTGCCGATGGTCCAATCGCCCACTTACTCCTTACCTGAATTACATATATTCCTACGGAGAACTCCGCAAGCTGTTCAGCGGGACGAACCGAACGCGCTCGAGAGTCATGGAATTTTCCGCGACAGCTCGCCCGCGCATTCTTTCCATCCTCGACCTTTCCGCGCCTCGAAATTGACCCCCTGCCAGGACACGGAGAATCAGTGCTGATAGCAGTTGCAGACCTTGAGCAACCTCGATCATTGATCTGGAGCGAGCCACTGTACTTGAGTGTGGATGTCCCGAACGTTCTCTAGGGCTTTGGTCATCGTTGGCCTTCTCTCATCGTCCTGCGCTGAGCAGCGCATCGCCAAATCAATTGCCTGGCGCACCGTCTCACTTATCTGGACGCTGTTGGTAACCGCGGCTTCCAGACACTCGTCAACGATCATCGATAGCGGAATAGTGCGATCTTCCATCATGCTCCCTGTCCACTGGACAAGATGTTGTGACGCATTCCCCTCGTGTACGACCGCCTTTTTACCCGTCAGCAGCTCAAGGACGATGACACCGAAAGCGTAAACGTCGGTCCTCACGGTCAACCTCAGGACGGAGTAGTACTCGGGCGCTATGTACCCGGCGGTGCCGGCGAGGTGCAGAGTAGTCACGACCGCATCTTCCGGCTTCGCAAACACCTTCTGGACGATCGTGGCCAGGCCGAAATCGGCGAGAACTGCGCTGACGTTCCGTCCGACTCCGGCTGAGAGGAGTACGTTCCGGCTCTTGACATCGCGATGGATGATTGGTTGACAGGCTTCATGATGAAGATAACGGAGGCCTTCTGCGATGTCTAAAGCTATGGAAATGCGCTGCAGCAGCGTAAGCGGAGGTTTCTCTGCCTTACCCACCGGGTCGTGCAAGCGAGAGTACAAGCTGCCGCCTTCGAAATAAGGGTAAACCAACATCGGGCTTCCTCCCTCATGACAGTAGCCTAACAGCCGGATGAGGTTGGTGTGGTGAACCCTGGAAAGACAGTTCACTTCCGCAGCAAACTGCTTCCGCTTCATCGGCGTCGCATCGCCGCGCATAACCTTGACAGCCACCTGCCCGTCGCCTATGCGTCCACGGTAAACATTCCCGAATGCTCCGGCTTCACCGATGCAGTTGTCGGGATGGAAACCAGCGGTACACTGGTGCAGTTGAGCATGCGTGAAAGCTGTTAGACTGGCCAGCTGGATTTCATGCCAAGAGAGCTCCGCTGGCGTACTGATTGACTGACGCTCACTACCTGACCCACTTGTCGTCGCAGGCTCGGGACCTAACCTGCCGCCGTTGATGGGCACCTCGATGCTTTTGCACTCCACAGACGGCTGACGCGGCGGTCTTGTGGCGGCGCATCGCGACCGAACGTAACAGACGACAGCACAGGCGATGAGAGCCGCTATCAACGCGGACAGAATTGGGGCCACAAGGAGGACAACCGGATCCGGCGTAGAGGCCTTGACTGGGAGGGGTAGCGGGACGGATTGAGAAGGAGGAGGTGTTACGGGTGGGAGGGACTCGGAAGCAGGGAGAGAAATGGAGGCAGCGGCAGGAGGATGCGAAGTGTCGACTGAACTTAGTGATGCTATGTCGGTATCAACGGTTGTGTTAGGAGGCGGCGGCGGCGATGACGAGTACGGGCTCGGGATGATCGGGGGAATCGGCCTAAGGTCACAGACATGCAAAAGCTTCGGGTTTATCTCCAGCTCGAACACGTGTCCATCGGACGACCCCACGTACACGTTTAGCCCAGTGCCATTCGCGCGCAGCGCCAATCCCTGCAGCCCGGCTGTGCTGTAGGCCGCAACCGTTTGCACACTCCGTGCCACTCCACAGGGCGAGCCTAGCTTCACCCAACGGACCAATCCATTGGTCTGTGAGACAAACAGATTGCATCCGTCCGCAGTTACTGCCACAGCCGTCGGACCAGAGAACGAGGCCATCAGAGCATCGCCATCTTGCGGTGTTCCCGTGCCGGATCCCGCAATAACGGTTGGCGTCTTCGATGCCGACAAGAGATCGATTCCCCACACCTTATCTACGTCAGCATCCACGAAGTAAAGGCAATTTCCTTCCGGATCGAAGCTCTCAGGCCCGAACGCCATGGCGCCGACTTTCGGATTGCCATTCCTCACTACGCTGCCGACAACTTCGAAGACGCTTGCCCCACTCAGAGGAATGCCGCCGGCTCCCTCCACCGCTGCAGCAGAGAGCAGCTTGAAGTCCATTGGCGACTCGTCTACCGTATACACGCGACTCCTGTTCGGAGTGAATGCCAAGCTCGACAGCAAGGACGCGTCAGTGGGTATCGTTGAACGGCTGCCGTCGCTCGTTGACAACACAGCCACGTTCGACTTCAGCACACGTTTGGCCTCCGTGCCCAGGACAAGATGGGATCCCGAGGAGGACAGGTCCATTCCTGTGCACGTCGTCATTGTATTCGAGTCCGTCGTTTCTGGATTGAGTACGACCTCGGCCGTTGAAGGGGCCGGGCCGCTCGGTTCGTCACCTGCCCACCAGTAGCTAACTACCTCCCCCCCCGGCAGGCCGTTGCTTACGCCGCCTCCTGCGCTCACATTTCGCAAATCTACTCGCCTGTAGGACTGCCGCCAATGCGTATCGCGGTTAGTCCCGAGCTGAACGCATTTCTCCTCGAGGATATAATAAAGGATATTCTGGAGGGAGTCTACGACTATGTTGCGGATGATATTTCCGCAGGACATTGTACGATTAGATACGTTGAAAGGAGATTCCGGCTCATGTTTGAGCACTACCCTCTGACCAATAATCAGGCTTGCATTTACATTTGCATTTACTTTCAGACTTGGAAGAGACGGGCTCGAGGCACTGCCCAGTAGCGATCGGATAGTGCGTTCGTTGTCGTCCGCGGGTCGGCCATGGCGGACGCCCGCCCGCACGAAGCCGTGCGATACGCCGGAGACACCGGACGCCTCTATCGCTCCCGGTTTATTGCCTCCGACGACGACGACGATCCGCACGGACTGTCCAGGAAGACAAATAGTTAACAAACTCAATGCAAAGACAAACCCGACTGAAAGGACGACTACTCGTCTACCCACAGAGGTGAACCCTCCACCTTCTGCATGCATTCGCTGCCCTATCTTCTCCATGTCCGCATCCTAGAGACGTCGCTACTAGCTATGGCGGGTGACAGCAGCCTACAAACTGCACCTAGCTGTCACCACTACCACGCTCCTCACTCGCAACCCTAGATACAATTATTGTCGATAGGGACCCTGCACCCGCTACGCCCCAGCTGCAGAGAAGCGGAAACAGAAGGACACCCTGTCTCACTAAAACTCGCCCTCTCGATCCCGATGCTACCAAACGACCGCCAACGCTTTCTGGCTTTTCGCTCCGAATGCACTGAAACTACATGGCGAGACCAGCATGGACACTTTTTTTTTTTTTTTTTTTTTTTTTTGTGGACACAGAAATTAGACCTGAGTTCCGACGAATTCAAAAAAACAGGATGAAAAACAGACACTACAAGGAAGGTTGGGGGTTGCGGCACCGCTACTCTTCGTGATGTGGGAGATGCGACAGCTGATGGGGCCTCGCTGCACTATTGTCTCGCTCCACTACTCTCGACTCACGAAAAAATTCGTGAGTGCTTCTAGAGCTGTCAGAGGTAGAGAACTCGTGAAAAAGGAGGCGTCGCTCCACTTACTCCAGACTCCAGAACTGTAGAAGCACTAACGAATTTCTCAGCGCTACGTGACAGCCCTTCTACAGGGCTAGATGACAGCGCCAGCTCTTTCTGATGGTCGGGGCAGGAGGCACACTCACGAAAAAAAGAGGCCGGCGGGGGGTAGGAGGGGGACACTAGAAACCGTGAGCGTTGCAGGCTGCGACACATCGAGAGTGCCCTTCGAGAGCGCTTTCTGACAGCTCTCTAAGGGTGTTGTCATGAGTTCAAGTCTAGAGTAAGTGGAGCGAGGCGTTACTCTCGAAACTTGGTGAGTAGAGAGTAGTGGAGCCAGACCCCTACTCTCGAAATGTGCAGAACGAGAGCGAATCTTCCCCTAGAATATGGAAAGATACACCGTCAATATTTTTGTCTTTTGTGCATGTCTAGAGTAGCGCAGCTAGGCCTATTAACTGGGGTTTCTTGGCAGACTACTGGATCAGAAGAGAGAAATAGGGCTGCTGACCTCTCAGCTTCAGGGCATAGGGTCTTGCTCCACTACTATCTGCTGTACGGAATTTCGTATAGCGGCCGTATAGCTGTCAGAGAAAAAAAAAACGTATAAAACCTAGTGTCGCTCCACTTACTATCCGCTATACGAGTCTCCAATTTTGGAGCTTACTACAAAACACTCTCACAGCACTACAAGACATCAATTTGTCGGCCCAGACTCCAGGCTCTCCATACGATTTTGCAATGCTACGCCGACCTCCTTCGACCACCCTCCGAGTAACGACTTCTGCAGGCTGTGAACTATACGGGATCGTATGGTGAAGCGGGAGGGCGCCTTCTGACAACTATACGGCGATTTCCGAAGACGCATTTCGTATAGGTAGTGGAGCGATGTCCCACTATACGAAATCGTACAGCAGATAGTAGTGGAGCAAGACCCATAATCACACGGCGACCCCAAATCCGCAAAAATACGCGGATTTGGGAATGGCCGATTTGAGGTTTTGGGCATCGTTCACGTCAAACTGCCGTACCTTTTCAGATGGGACAAGGTTGTGGCCATCTGGAGAAATGGGGATTTGGTACTTGGCTGGTCACACAGCGCCATCCACCAATTGTGCAAGAACTTTTGTCAACGAATTTTTGTCAATTTTTGAAGAAAATGCAAAAAAAAAAAAAAGGGAATTTGCGGTCACCTCCAGAGGTGACCGCAAAATCCCTTGCCCGGCGGCTTCCCAGGCCGCTGACAAATGGGCACTGGAATAGTACATTTGTGAATTTGGTAGATCTGTGTGACTGGCATTTTCCCCTTTTTTTTGGGATTTTGTTTTGGGATTATAGGTCCCCCTGTGAGTATGCCCTCACTCAGACTTGGCTACATGTATCTGACATCTATTGGGACCAACCCGGATGTATCTGGCCGTACCTAACGCTCAGAAATCAGTCTCAGATGTCCTTAGGTTGAGGGCATACTCACAGTGGGACCTATAATCCTCAATTTCCCAAAAAAAAGGGTAGAGGGCCGGTCACACAGAGTTGCCAAAATACCAAGTGTACTATTGGTGTGCCCATTTGTCAGCGGCCTGGGAAGCCACTGGGCAAGGGAATTTGGGGTCACCTCCGGAGGAGACCACAAATGGCCTATTTATTTTTTTGCATTTTCTTCAAAAATTGGCATGAATTTGTTCACAAAATTTCTTGCACAATTGTGGATGGCCCCGTGGGCCAGCAAAGTACCAAATCCCCATTTCTCCAGACTGCGGCCACCTTGTCCCATTTAAAAAGGTACAGCAGTCCGACCCGAAGCATGTCCAAAACCTCAATTCGGCCCTTCCCAAGTGTGAGTATGCCCTGAGTATGGCCTAAAACAGAGAGGGCGGGAAGACGGCGACAAGTGATGACCAATGGGTCTGGCTCTTTTTTTTTTTTTTTTTTTTTTGGATACAAAATGCTACAAAGAGGAAAATTGAAAAGCGCCTGGAGAGGGCCTGCCAGCATTGATTGCTCTGAGAATCAGAGGATTGACTGAGCAGGTGTGAAGACTACCCGAACGTGAAACTGGGAGTGGCAGAACCCAGTGCCGTACCCCCGTTCACCGTNGATTGAGGGTGGGCTATCCTCCTAGCACGTACCTTAGAGTTGAGGCTCGCATAGCAGTCCTTAGTATGGATGTCGGGGGTGTCAGGAGATACTGCACCTTACCGCGGGACCGGAACGGGCTCCAGGGATATACGAGGGAACAGAGGATCCCCATCTCTCTACCATCAACATCATAGTACGATAAAGAAACTCAGTCTATAAATCACGACCTAGGGTTGGCTATCCTCCTAGTACGTAGCATAGGGTTGAGCCGTGCCGTACCCCTGTTCACCGTTCACGGGGTGACCGGTCATGGAGTTCACGGAGTTCACGACACGGGAGTTCATGGAGTTCACGGAGAGCGTTTTTTTTTTGTTTTTTTTTTTGGCTGGGGGGGTAGAGTTTTTTTTTTATAGGAGGGTGGGGGTCATCGGAGGGTAACCCCCCACATGTTTTTCATTTTATTTTTCTTCGGATAATATATTTTTTTTTATTAAAAACCGAAAAGAAAAGAAAAAAGCAACCAGCCAAAATAAGCTTTTTCATTTGTTATTTTGTACGTTATTTCCATTTTCTTTCACACCCTTTTTTTTTCTTTTTTTTCTTTTTTGTTTTTTTGAAGGCACGGGGGTGTACAAGGCCCCCGCACCACCCCCCTCCTGCCCCGATCCCGACCGTTCCGGCCTCCACGTGGGCGGAAATCACGTGAACGGCCGCCGGGAACAGCCGTTCACAGATTTTGGTCCCTGTGACCGGCCGGTCACGTTCTAGTGACCGGTGCCGGTCACGTTCACGGGACCGGCACTGGCAGAACCTCATCTCCCTTTCTATCCCTATGCCTGGTCAAGGTACCGGGAGGAGCCACTGGGGGGCACCAGTGGTTATCCTGCCGTCTCCCTGCCATTCCTCCGAGACGCCTACCGACAAGACTGTCTTCGGTCTCTGCCATCCACACTGACAGCAAAAAGAAGGGCCTGCCAGCATTGATTGCTCTGGGAATCAGAGGATTGACTGAGCAGGTGTGAAGACGACCCGAACCTGAAACTGGGAGTGGCAGAATCTCCCTTTCCATCCCTATTCCTGGTCAAGGTGCTGGGAGGAGCCAATGGGGGCACCAGTGGTTATCCTGCCGTCTTCCTGCCATTCCTCCGAAACGCCTACCTACAACACTGTCTTCGGTCGCGGCCATCCACATTGACAGCAAAAAGAAGGTAGTGGACAAAACAAACAAAAAGGAGGGGGATTGAAAAACAGAACACAGACCGAGGCAGGCTTTTTTTTTTTGTTTTTTGGAAACAACTCCATCTATTGGTGGGGAGCAACACCCGCTGGAAACCGGGTCCAGCGTCCCATAGATACAAACATTACCTCACAAATTGGCACGAACTGGGAACCGGGCCCAGCGTCCCCTAGTGAGTACCTTCAGAAGATTCGTCACTGAAAACCTACTGGAAAAATCCAATTGGCCTAAGAATAGTTTTGGAAACTTAAGATACCGGGGCCATTACCTGGCTTTGACTCAGAAATATTGGAGCAACTTCAGACATGTCTACAAATGATTTAGAACAAATTTCAGGAACAACTCAAGAGAAACCCCCATCACACCACTTTACCTCACTCCGGCAAGACTGACTGCAGCAGAGCCACCATCTCTGCTGCTACTATACCATACCTCGCTGGCAGGACGCATGATAACCTACGAATCCCCCTCGGCGGCGGCCATCCGCGGTCAAGTTCACGGACGCGGCCAGTCCGCTGACCCCACGGACGCGTCCGCGCGGACGCGCGGCTTTGGAGCCACGTGGCGGCCGCAGGGGAGCAGCTTTCGACATTCAGAAGACGCCACGTGGCGGTGCATCCCCGGCCCCACCCCACCACACAAAAAAAAACCGAAAAAGACCAACTTTTGGATGGGGGGGGTTGGGCGAAAT